TTACTTCAAAATTCATTAATTTTCTGTCTCCAGTGGCTTTGGTTATATATTGCAGTCGAACGTGGTTTTATTGAATATTCATATGTTAGTCTCTATGATTCAAGACGACGTTCATTTATTTCTTCCATATTACTTTTTACATTATTACCATTATCAAATATTTTGCCAATTTTATTTGGTCGAAAAGACTACAGTTATACTTCATTTAATTTTTGTCTATTAAACTTTACTTCAATTGGTTATATATTCTATTTAATAATCTATTATATTAGCTATATAGCTTCACCACTTTCATTTACAATTGCATGTGTATTTATCTTTAAGCATCTCATTGAACATCGTCATAATTTAATCGACAATGAATCATTTCGTTCATCATTAATTTTAATTGCATCGAAACATTATGATTTTTTTCTACCAATACTGGTTTACTGTCTGTTAGTTAGTCCTCAATTTATACTTGATAATTTGATGGATTGTTTACGAGCAGATTCCATAGTGGTATTTCGTACACAGATTGTAACACGACTAATATTTGATAGTACATTGACATTAACATTTTTTATCTATGTTTATTTATCAAAACTATATCTTTGGGAATTTTGGCACACATCACCCGTTGGACGATTTTTAATTCATGTTAAAAAGCGTTTGATAAACTGAAAATGACTACCCAAGTCGAAACTTTTTTACTTTTTGATAAATCTCGCGAAAATATTTTCGTTTTTCAAAAAATCGAATCAGCGTTTTCGGCACACTTTTTTTTTGTGTGAACTTTAGCGCAGAAACGCTTGAATAAATTCTACAATTTTATGGAGACTTGTTGAGGCATCTGTATCACGATCTGCGAAGATCTATGATACTATGACCGTCACGGTCTGTGGGAAGGTCCAAATTTCTGTTCTATATACTTCAACACTCCTTTTACTTAGGGTTGATTAAAAGTTCGTAGAAATTCATGCAATAAATCTTTCGATATTAAGTACTTTATAAAAATTTAAATATCGTTCTACGAACTTTTGGTCAACCCTAAGTAGATCGTGTTTCACAAAAAATCAGTATTCGATAACGATCTTCTCTTCTCTTTGATCAGCACATTCAGTAATAGTTAACTAATTGTGTTAGTCTTGAGCTTCACTTTTTAGTACATCCTTGCGATCAAAAATGACGAGTAATTTTTCACATCTCATTTATTTCTTCCATACAGTTTCAAATTTATCGAGTCAAAAATTCTAACATTTTAATTTGCAAAAGAAGCTACCTGTTGTGTTTATTCTATAAGAACTCAGACAAAGCAGAATATCGTGATATTGTTTAAAATCAATAACAAGAATGCTACACGATATCCAAACAATATATATTAATAGTAAAAATAAAAACTGCATGACAAAAATCTAGATCTCGTACTTGACCAACATCTACTATTGTCATTAGTGCGTTTTTGCGTAGCTGAACAGTTTGATATATGAATGTTGATGTCGTTTGTCATAGTTTACTGTTTCGGTAAGTAATGCTGCTGCATCACATTCCTCTAAATGTATTTCAGTTCGCCGTTGTTGATCATTTCTTACTATTTTCGTAATTTGAAATGGTGAATAAGGTAGAATTAAAACTTCATCTTCATCGGGAAATTCTGAATATTCAACAATGTAAAATGCTGTACAATTTTCATTTTTGATTGTGTATATACACAAGACGGATATATCATCGGTATGCGACGATACATTATATTGTCCGCTGAAACATTCGGCTACTTCATAATTTTTTGAAGTCGAGAGAGAGGTTGCTGTAATAATGCGAGATCCTTCTTTATAATGAGAAAAACTCGATTCTTTAATAACTAAACCTCAATATACTTGGCCAACAAAATTTAAACTTCGAAATTGCGGATGATATAAGAGGATAGTAACAATGGATTTAGTACCGTCTTCAGTTGAATATAAGCATTCACAACAAAATTTGCTTCAACCATTTGTTGGATAATGAATAACATTTCGAACTTTTACGTGCTCTTTGAAACCAGTATCGTATACAGTCAGCGAATGACAGATGATTTAGTCGTGAACTCAAATAATCTTCGCTTATCGAGTAGATTCTGTTTTTAAGTGATCTTTTCATTATAGATGATTCTATTTCACGACGAAATTGAAGAGCATGTCGATCGATGAGTTCCCACTTGT